ACAACGATTCCAATTCTCTCTTTCTCTTACAAGGATTTTCAATTATATTAAATGACAATGAGGATTCCATAAAATTAGTATCCAAGCATAATTTATAGAGGTTTCCCTCCATGCTACCAAATCCTATTACATTTGAGTTCAAGCTTATTGTCACTTTATTGTACACGAAATTAAATGCAAAACCATGAGCACTTAGTTTCGATACAGACACCAAATTACGAGTAATATTAGGTACATAAACAGCATCACGAAGATGAAGAATGAAACCACTCTCTAAAATTAATGAGATGGTTCCAATGGCCTCCACTTCTAATTCTTCTCCGTTGCCCACCTTAATCACTCTTTGCTTTCTTCCCAATATGCAGATTGAATGGAATCCCTGCAGTGTGTTTGAAACATGAACCATTGAACCAGAGTCAATCCACCAAGTATTAAGGGGAACTGATGTGTTTAATGATTCATAAACTACATAGGTGGTTAAGTTACCTTTCTTAGTCAGTCATGCCTTAAACTTAGGGCACTCCCTCTAGTAATGCCCTTTGAAGCGGCAAAACTTAGAGTAAGGACCGGAGCTCACGCTTGCACCTATCTTTGGGACCTTAGAAATGTTACCTTTTCCTCCTTGACGATTTATTTTCCTTTTCTTTGAGTTTGTGATGGTGAGATGAGCAACATCTGGTTTTTCAGCTTTTAGGCGCTCTTCTTCTTGAACACACATAGCAATCAACTCGCTCATTGTCCACTTCTCTTTCTGTGTGTTGTAATTGATCTTGAACGGACCATAAGACGCAGGTAGAGAAGTCATTATGAAATGAACGAGGAAACCTTCCCTGATCTCCATGTCCATACTTTTGAGTTTGTTGGACATATCAGACATTTTCATGATGTGCTCACGAATACCACTCACTCCATCATACTTACTTGTAACCATTTTGAGAATCAAGGTACTAGCATGTGCTTTAGAAGTGCCCTTAAACTGTTCTTCCACATATTCTAAGTAGGTTTTCGCATTTTCTGAGTCTGGAATGGCTCCGCGAATAGCTACAGATATGGAATTCTTGATCACCATGAGGCACATTCGGTTGGACCTCTCGCACTGTTCATAAGAACGTTTCTGTTCCATAGTGCTCTTAGCGTTAGGAGTATCCGATGGATCAATTCTCAGCGCTTGGTCAAGGTCCATCATGCCAAGTGAGAGTTTTACAGATTCTCTCAATGTTGAAAAGTTTGTCCCATTCAAAGGTTCTATCTCATAATTATATGGGGTAACAGTAGATGCTGAAATAAAAGTTTTAACAGAGGCAATAATAGAAGATATTTATTATATATAAGGGAATACAATAAGGCATGTCAATTATTAGTAAATAAGCCTATTATCAACACCAAATAATAGGAAAAATTCATATCGTGTTTAATAACTAACATTGCGTTGGCTAATGCTAACTATCAAATATTATGATATTAAAATTAAATTAGGCTTGCAAATTGTGTCACATATCACCTTTGGGCAGAAATATAACACACTTTATTATGCTTAATTTCATCATACAAGTTATCAAATAACACACCTTTGGGTTTGTTAAAAGAAAACTCATATAATTGCTTAAGATTGTCAAAACAAACAATCTTCCGTTGGGCCGATCATTGAATTTGACACTAAGATAATCAATAATCCATACTTGGAAAATGGCAGAAAATTTGGAGTGGATGTTGTATTAGGCCTAAATGATCAGTTTCTAGTGAGTATTAACTAGAAAATTTAGAAGAAAAAATTAACTTCCGTTATAGAAAATGGGTGTATGGACAATATATAAATGTTAACTCCATGTTGCAAATGATCAGTTTTAGAGCAACTATACATTCTGGAAACTATATGCAGAAATTAATTTGAGTCATTTAAGGCGATAAACGTCTGTTTTTATCCTCTTATACAAACAGAAAACAACACACCAGACATGATTTCATCACTCGGTATATCAGATTCGGAAATGCAAACTAATTAACTTAATAAAGTTATAATAAAGCAAGCAAACCGAATCATAACTAAAGGTAGTATTTAGTTTTAAAACAAACATAATGAAAACAGACCGATCAATATGTCAAAACCTTTTTTTAGTGTTATATGACTTCCTTATTAAACTGATGTATAGAAAAATCAAAGTTTCATTTTCTACCACCGAAAAGGCAAATAAACTCATTCAAATCAAAGTGAGTTAAAAATGAATAAGAATCAAAGTGAATCACCCAATTATCCCATCAGATTGTGTCTGTACTATACATACAGAACTAACTGGAATTTCACACATGTAAAACAAATTAAAACACTATGCATAATTGTATTAGGGACAACGAGCGACAGAATTAATAATTAAATTGAAAACACTAGTCTATAGAGATTCCAGCGGAAACAATATGACTTCCGTAATTTGTAAACGGTTTTTCACACCATGAAAAGCATGAACGGCGAACAATAATCATTAAGACTAAATCATTAAGCAAGAATTAACGGGCTCTGATACCAAATGTTGAGATTCAGTCCCAAATAGGATCTAATCTCTCTAAACATGATAAAATTCATAGAATCAAACAATAAGAATACTAACCGGTTGAGGAGAAACCGAACGTTGATGGTGTCGTAGAAGATGATGAAGCCATTGATGTGTAGATTCTCTAAGGATACAAACTACAAATCGATGGATTGCTAAGTCTCCCTTGGGTCTCTTTATAATGGTGTTCTCGAGACCCTTAGGAAGAAACACGTCTCTTCCCTTTTGTCGTAAGAGTTGGAATGAGCGTGTACTTTTATATATTGTATCAAAGAGAAACCCTTTTGGTCCCTTATGTATTATTTAATGTTAAAACATACCATCATATGTTAACTATGCATAAATACAGAGACCAAATCTGTCATATGACAAACTTAATGGAAAGACATAAATGTCCAAATATTTATTAAATTATATAAATGGTCCAAGTGCACTTAAAGGGAATATTTTCCAACAGTTTTCACAAATAGACTTTAAAGTTAAAATAATATAGCATGTAGTAACATTTGTTTTACACAGCATGTACTTCAAGGTTTTTCAAATATAGACGACAAATTTCTTCTTACAATAGACTATTCATATAAGAGCATCTATTTGGGGGCACCCCTGGGGTGGGTCGGGGAGGAGGTTGGGAGGTCCCGCGGGAGGGAATACAAGAGCTCAAACTGCTCACGGCGGGAATTGACATTGTTTAAATCTGCCACATCATCAATTTTAAAATAGTTGTAGTAATATTGTCTCCAATGAATTCTTTTATGAGTTCTTTTATGCTGACAACCCAGAATTTCCAAAGCATTCCAGTGTAGTTGCTGAAATTATAGTGCAACCATGCAAATTTGTTTCTTTTTCATCAAGGTTGGAAGGAGGTGCGTAGTGGGAAACTAATGGCTGCCACTTTTTTTTTGCTTTTTTGTTCGAGTTCTCCTTGTAACGCAAAACATTAATAAGTATTTTAAAATATTAACTTTATGCATTGTAGAAAAATTATTTAATACTTTCGATGTATACTCATTATCCGAGCCAAATAAACGGTTCAGGGGGTCGAAACTTAACCTATATATACAGAATGAAAATGGTGAATCGTTTTTAAACAATGCCCGAGTTGAATATTTCATATGCAGTTTAGATAAATAGGCACTCGTAGCAATACGATGTGTTGTCTTTGCTCTGTTTCTAAGTCGTGTCACGTAAGTATTGAGTGAATTATACCATATTTTTAAATTTTGGGAAAATAATCTATGGTGCATCAAATTTTGCTGATTTTACGTTTCTATTGTGGTGATTTTCCAAAAGTCGTAACTTTTTACTCGTAACGAGTTACATCGGTCATAATATATCAAATCGGAGATATTCCAAAGCTCTACACTCTCAAACTATCAGCGGGGTCGCTCATCACCCTGACCCCCCTTGACTCCGCCCCTGTGTATAGTTGATGTGGATAGACATAATTCTAGATAATTGACATGCCACAAAATCTTGATTCTTTCAAAAGAAGAGCAATGAAGATGCTCTAAACATGGTTATTGAGTGTCTTCTTTTGTGGGCGATGAGATTAACATTTGTATGATTTTTGTGACTTCAGATTTGTAATATTAATAATTATATTATGACATTTTATCATATAGTTAATTTGTTAAAGGCTAGTGAATATTTTATTGAAACAGTTTCTATTTTTATTGTCAATCATGAAAAGAATCGAAACATTTCACATAAATTGTAAAGTTTGATTTCATTTTACTCAAATATTTAATTATCTTATCATTTCACATTTCCATTTTCATTGAAGTTGGGGCCTCAATTGACCACTGTTTTCTCATATTGTTCTAAGATTGTTTCACTCTTTAATTCCTTACAAAACAAGCATTTAGATTTATTGAAGTTGAAAATGTTATTAATGCATGTAATTTAGTGTGTAACTTTACGTTTTTTTTTTTTTGCTTATTTTATGGGACCTCCATATAACATTTAGAATATCAGATCAATTGGTTGAGTGGTGAGAAATTTAGATCAAAGGATCAAGGTTCGAATCCCGCAACGACCGTGTGAAGGTTACATCATCTGAAATGGCAGGATCTTTGATGCGCACGTGTATATGAGTCTACTGCCACTTCACTGATTGAGTCACCGTGATTTACAACCTCTCACGTGCTCTGTCAGGTCGGAGTGTGGGGACTCCGGGAGTGAGAGATTCCACATTTTTGGATCTAGAATAGGGCCTCACGACTCGAGAGTGCTTTGGTTTGTTTTGAGAGAAATTGAATGACTAATAGTGTTTTTGTATGGTAAAATTATATTATCTCAAAAACATTTTTTTATAAAACACTCTAATTTCAATTTTTTTTCTTTTAATCACTTTAATTATTAAACAGTTTCTCTAAAATTACTTCAAAATCATTTTTTCATTTTTTAAGTACTCCCTAAATTCGTCAAAAAACTCTTATCCTCCCACTAATAAGTTAACACGCTGTCACGCAGTAAGTGACGACGTAGTGTCAAATTAAAAAAATCAACTTCCTTGAAATAAAAAAGTTTAAAACCTAGACAAGGTGTCGGTATCGATTCTCTTCAATCTTGATCCCTCTCATCGTTCTGTGAGAGGGTTTCATCTGAGAATTGAAGCCGTTTAATCCTCGTATTTTCATTTTCTCTGGTAAAGAAATTTGTTTGCATCTTATTTCGCGTATTTGTTCGTACTTGTGCTATTTCATTATGTAGATTTGATATTTTCTTATTTTGTTTTTTGTTTTTTTCTATTTCTTCTTTTTTGGTTAATTTTTACATCTCTTCTGCTTGATCTTATGTCTTTATCTTCTGATTCTATTTATATTGAGGTTGTCTTTAAATTATCATCTTACCCTGAAATGGATTTTTGGAATTTCCTAGCATTTTCACCAGAACAAGCATTCTTGCCGTGATGTACTAAATAAATCCTTACCCCCTCAGGCTAACAGAAGAGCTCACTGATATCTGCTCGGCTCCAATCTGCGTTTACAACACCCAACGCAGTTGGATGTCAGATTCGTCCGCATAATCACTCAACCTTGATTGTGTTGCGTACAGGTCTAACTCAGAGAAGGTAAAAGTAATACTCCGTAATATTCATTTTTGATAGTCTTGTCTACCTCTTTTTTCGTTTTTAAGGTAGAGTTATAGTTAAAATCGAAGTGGATTTTTGACTTATTATAGGATTTTCTCCCTATGTATTTGCTGAACAAATTTAAGATTTTATATATATCTATGGATGCTTTTCCAGAATTTTTAAATTATTCATATAAGTTGTTTGTGTGTATCGTTTTGAGTTCTTCATAGTAATTGGGTTGAGGTGTTTTGTGCTTTTGTATTGTTGGTAAGACTTTTAAATTCCAGTAGTTCTTAGGTGATGCTCATTTGGCAAAGCTTTGCTACTCTGTTAATAGGGAAGTTCATGGCATGTTTCAGTTGTGGTGGTGTGATGTTATAGCTTAGCACACAGCTCAAGAAGTAGCTGTGTGGTGTCACACAGAATGGAGCTTTTATGTTACATTCTTATTAATATTTCTTGTGGATTTTTTTTCTATGATAAGGTGAATTTATTCATGTGGAGCTCTTTAGGCGGGAACGCGTATGAAATTGCTTTTGCTTTTATATATTAATATTAATAGATTCCTTGATGAGTTATTTGATACCCATGTGGAGGTTCATGTTTGAACAAGAGAGCTGAATTATTTTAGGACCCCACACAAATGTTCTTGCTATTTCTAAGCCCTACCTCTTCAAGGAATTGGTATTTCTTTTTATGAGGCATAGGGTGTGTATTGGAGCTCATATTTTCCATATGTAGTTGAATGCTTGGGGACCTCTCAATGCTGGTGGTTGAATTTACTTGGGCGGGTAATTTTCATTTGTCCTTGGAAGGGATCAACATTTCTAATTGCTTTTAGATTTAGGGTGTGTGAGTGTGTGTATATTTTCATATGCACACACCCTATGGCAAAGAAGTTTAACTCTTTCTATGAAGTAATACTACCTCCACCCCCCTAACATTTGCGAGTATTGAATTGATAGAGTGAGAGTAAAGTAAGAACGATTTAGAACCACATAAACCTTACTAGATTTGGTATGAGACAATCTTAGTGGGACGGACCAAAAAGGAAAGATAGGACAATCTTAGCGGGATGAGGGAATGCATATAAGAATTCCTTCAATCTCATTTGGCTAGATAGTTCTTGGCTATTAAGTTGATTACTTCTTTCTTGACTGGAACACATTTTTTCTTGCTTGCGTTATTTATGTGGTGGTGACATTGAAGCTGTACAATGTACATTGTTTTCTGCCAGAGCAGTAGTTCTTCTATATTGAGAAAAAATAATGGATTGATTACATGTATCTCTTGCAGTTTCAGACACCATGATTAAGTTGTTTAAGGTGAAGGAAAAACAGAGAGAGCTTGCTGAAAATGCAAATGGGAAGCCACCGGTGAAGAAGCAAAGTGCAGGAGAACTTCGACTTCACAAAGGTAATTTGTTTTAAAGTTACCCCTTATCCTCTATTTTTATTCTCAGTCTCTGTTGTAAGATATGATTAAGTGCAAATCTTTTATACTATACTTGTACGCTTGTGTATCGAACCTGCAGCAAGTTTTTTATCAGGCCCTATCTCGGTAATGTGTGTCGGTTTTAGTGATATTTGTTACTTCTCCCAGTCTCAAGCTCTGTTGTAAGATCTTAATTAATCTCTGTTATTTTCACCCATCATTCTGTTAAAGGCCATTTTTGACCTCAACTCGTCATTACCTTAGTGGGAAAGTAGTGGAAACTAAACAAGTTTTGTTCTTCTGCAATTATTAAACAGTTATCTCAATACTTAAATTCCTGGAATGTAAATGATCATGCAGATGTTAATGTACATGGATAGACAAAAGGGTTGCTATGGGTCTGTATAATTTGTAACAAAATTCAGGCAATTATGTACATGAATTTTATAGCGTTTTGACGAATGTCTCTGGTGTTCTGTTTTTTTATTCTGCCAGCTATAAGTGTTTTAGACATAGCTCTGATGTTTTAACATTTTTTAACTTCAAGCAGATATAAGCGAATTAAATCTACCAGAGACGTGTAGTATAGCATTCCCTAATGGAAAAGATGATCTAATGAACTTCGAGGTTACCATTAGGCCCGATGAAGGGTACTACTCGTAAGTACTTCATTCCATTTTCTCATATCAATTAAGCAATGAATTTGGAAGCAGAATCTCCCATTTTGTTATTTTGTTATGAATAAGATTCATTGTTCTCAGAGGTGGAACATTCATATTCTCCTTCCGAATTTCTCCAACATACCCTCATGAAGCCCCGAAAGTCAAATGCAAGACAAAGGTGTGCTCTAGTTATGATAATACTTTACATCAGATGCTTCCTGTTAATCATTATGCTTAATGGGTTACTTCAGGTTTACCACCCAAACATTGACTTGGAGGGAAATGTGTGTCTTAACATTCTTCGAGAAGACTGGAAACCAGTGCTGAACATTAACACCATAATTTATGGGCTGTATCATCTCTTCACGGTAAGATCATCATATTAGTTGTGTGGTTCATTCTAAACCCTTTTTGGCCACTATTGGTCCCCATCTGCTATTGGGTAAATTTCACTCGTGGCATTTATCCCCTTTTCAGTGCACACGTTTTAGATATCTTGCCAATTTCAAACCTTCTAAGTTGTAATCACTTATTTGGCAAAGAAAACATGGTTTGATAAGTGATCGAAAGGACCAAAAGGATCAAAAGTACATAGTTATGCACCAAACTACCAATTAGTAAAACCAAAAGAAGTGTGAAAATATGAAAATTGTGGAACCAAAAGTAGAATATTTTATTTTTGTAACCAAAAGTAGAATATTTTATTTTTGTAACCAAAAGTATTCTACTACTGGTCTCTCGAATAGTAGGCCATTTTTACTCTTGGTCCCAATCTTTTTTTTCATATGTGGTGCATGACTTGGATATCTTTGCCACTTTAGGGTGTGCTTGATCAAAGGGATCAAGTGTGTGCTTGATAAACTTTAGGGTATGGGCTTGATTTTGAAAAAGACAATGAATGACTTTTCATACACCCCGGTTAAGGAATTGGGTATGGCAAATTGTCCAACCTAGGAAATGAAACGTGTAGTGGAACACTACCCAACACAATTTAGTTCGATTCCCATTCCTTCACCAAGCACCGTCAAGAAGTAGATATGCCCTAAGAATGTTTTAATTGGTCTGAGATTTTCTAGTCTGAACTGGTAAATGCCCGGTTTATGCGTATTTTATAACTATCAAAGACTTGTTTGGTCTAGTCTTATTTGGTCTGATCAGGCCTGATCTGGTTTGGGACTGAAATAAGTCCAAGTAACAACATCCTAATAGTTATGCACGAATGGTGGAAAAATGCAATCACGAGACCTGAAGTAGATATCTATCATTCACAACCTTATGAATGTTTGTTGTGGTGATGGTTGAATGCGATTCAGGAACCAAACCATGAGGATCCTCTCAATCCAGATGCAGCCGCGGTGCTGAGGGATAACCCGAAGTTGTTTGAGTCCAATGTGAGAAGGGCAATGTCGGGAGGTTATGTTGGACAGACATTCTTTCCCCGTAGCTTCTAGGGTTCAGAGAAAGAAGATCTTTGCCATGTGATAATTTCTCCAAAATATTGATTGGATGCACTTCTCTCACTCTCCCTTCAGCTTTATGCATAAACGAGACCCTGCAGATTGTATGCCCAAGTGGGTTTCGTTTGGTGAATTGTTATTTGTAAGAATGTCAACGGTTGTCCTCTCTGGATGAATTTGCTTATTAAGTGTGTGTGGCTGCTTATTATATATTCTTCATTCCTGGATTGAGTTGAATGATGTGTTTTGTTGTCATTATATATTTTAATCTTTATTTGACCATCTTTTATTCTTTTTATTGGAAAAAAGTTTTCCATATCACAATTTCAATTTTTTATGACGACCCAATTAGGTCTACTTATCTTCTCAACATGGTCAACTGTATTTTCTATTTGGCTCTAGGTTTTGTTCCCGAAATGGAAATGAAACAAACCTCTGAAAAGAAACTATTCTATGTTTGGTGAAAACTAGAAATATGAAGGAAAAAATAGTGGAAAAAAACTATTCTCTATTTTGGTGAAAACTAGAAATATGAAGTGAAACATTTGAATCTGTTTATCAAATATTTGGCATTACTTGATCAAATAGCCAGAAGTTTTTTAAATATTCATGTAATCGTTTGATCTTTCAGTTTTTAACGGAGCGCTATTAAATCAGAGTTTTTTTTCGAATTAATGTTAATTAATTAAATAATTACGAAAATAATGCTGGTAAAAAAATATTTACCGATCTACTGTTGGGTTTAACCATGGTTAGGGAAAGTCGCTCAACGGTTGGACGACTTTCCCTTCCATATGAACGCAGACCAGCAGCTACTGCCAGCCACGCACGAATGCACGATCGTGCCTGGATGGGTAGGCACGATCGTGCCTAATTCCGAAAACAGAATTTCATCAGTTTTTTTGTCCCATTTCAACCCATACTCATCTTTTTGCTATAAATAAGTGTTACGAGCGAGATGCAACACATTATAAAACATACAACACACATGTTCACAAACACATACATAAACACATACAACTCACTGGTAAAACGCAGTACAATCATCAAACATTCATAACAATTAATCATCTAATATTCATACTCGAACACATAAATACAACATACAAGAGAAAATACGTAAAATGTTGTAAATTGTTCCTACAACATCTAAAAAGTTGTAAATTATCTAAAATGTTGTACAAGAAAAACTGCAATACAAAAGACAAAGTAGAAGTTGTCATGGTCATCTTGATCACTCGACCTAGGATCCGCTGTCACCTGCATGCCTACAAACAAACAAAATCATATTAGTTAATTTTTACTATTATACTAATTATTTTTTTTAATCATCAATTTTATTAATTAATATGTTTTCATGCAACACTGAGATGAACTGTGAATTACTATAATTAACACCTTACCCACTATAATTATACTTTTCTCACCTGATCCACTCAGTCACGCATCAGTAAAGTCTTCAGGGAGATCATACATTCTAGTAAAGTGGGTAGACAGGGCAGTTGTCGTGACCGTATCACCATCATCTTCATCAGATTCTGTCATATCTTCACCATTGATGTTGTCATCAGCATCATCATCACTTCCCTGCCCATCCACAAATGATGCACCGTTGTGCAAATACCTACCATCTTCCTGTATAACCATGTCCATTACAGGAGCATTTGAGGAGTTCCCAGCATTCACACATGCATTGACATAATTCCTAGATACAACAACATTTGATGTTGATGGAGTATGATAAGCGTCACATATGGATTCCTCAATGTATATCTCAAGCATTGACATGTCCTCCATCTGAACTATGGCTCACATATTTGTTATAGCTAGCTCATAAGTGAGGGGCATAAGCATGTACTTTCCCCCGTTCATGGGAAATTTCATTTTCAAACGCAAAGAACGGCTAGGATGAATCATTGTGGCTGTATGTATTTTTTGAAGGATCTCGAGCATGCAAGCACCACGACAAACCATGACAAATGTGGTTGTACCACCTTCATGGCATATTTGACCAGCATCCTCATAATAGTTCCCTCCACAATGACACACGATTGGGAAGCTTGAGAAATCCATATTCTAATAACAATTCAAATATATCCAAAAGTCAAGATTTACAAACAACTCACATTTCAATATGAAAATACCCAAATTTTGATATCTACATTCAAGTCTACATTTCAATACGCAAATTTAGCTACATTCAAATCCACCCAAATGCCCAAATGTCAAAATACACTTTAAAATTTACAATCAATTTCAAATAAAATTTCAACATTTCATAATCTAAAAATTCCAAAATTTTAACATTCAAAACCCTAAGTTAAAAATGAGATGAAATGGAGTTTGATTTACCTACAAGAAAGAAGAAAGAGTGTTGAAGATGAAGATGGAGGTTTGCCGGAGTGGGTCACCGGATATGGAAGTTCGCCGAAGTTGGAAATGGCTCGGTCGTCCTTCGTCCTTCGTCCTTCGTAGCTGCTGCTTGGGGGATTTGGGGATTGAGTTTCGTTCGCAGTGTTCTGTTTTGTGGCTGGTAGCTGTTTTTACTTAATGGAAAGTCGCCTAACGGTTAGGCGACTTATAAGTCACCCAACCGTTGGGCGACTTTCCCCCGACCACGGTTAACCCAGCAGTATATTGGTAAATACTTTTAACCCAACCCTATTTTCGTAATTAATTAATTAATTAACATTATTTCGGAAAAAAACTCATTAAATCATTGGAGATTTTTTAAAATTTACAAAGAAATCATTTAATCGGTCAGTCTTTTCTTACTAAATGAAGCTAAGTTTTGTAATTAGAATGATATTGTTCCTAGAGTAGACTAGACATTAATCGATTAAATCAGATTAAATTTACACAATCGTAAAATACACATGTTTATCATAGGGGTGGAAATCAAATCAAAAGTCAAAACCCAGAAATTGACCCAAAAATGCGACTTATTTAGGCTTTCATATTTTTGGATGGATTAAATAAAAATACCACTATTGAATCTGAAAAATCAGATTCACTAACGCTCTAAGTACTATCAATAATGCTAGGTGACACAAAATGTGTACATCTTTGACACCCATACATAAAGCCCTAGTTTTTAGCTCTTCCCTTCCCACCCATATGAAAATCTCTCCCATATAGGAGTGGACTCGGGCCGGGCCAACCGGCCCGGAACAGGACCGGCCCGCTACTGTGCGGGCCCGGCCCGCTACTGTGCGGGCCCAGACCGGCCGGGTGAACCGGTTGGTACCCGGTTTGGGCCACCCGGTTTGGGCCACCCGGCCCGGTGAGGTAGGCGGGCCGGGCCCGGGCCTCCTAAATCGTGAACCGGCCAGGACGGTTCGGGCCTGGTCCGGGCCAAATTATTATTATTATTTTTTTTGATTTTTTTTAAGTTTTTGGGTTGGACTAGGTATGATGGGCCATTTGAGGTCATTTGGGGTGGTTTGGGGGTGAGGGATGAGGGTTGAGGGTTAATTAGGAAAAGCCAAAAAAAATATAAGAACCGAGGCCCGGCCCGGGCCGGTTCCGGGCCTCCCCTTTCATGAATCGAGGCCCGGTCGGGCTCAGGCCCGAACCGGGGCCGAATCGGAACCGGTCCACCCCTACTCCCATCCCTTCGTGTTCTTCTTTCTTTTATCTCCCATTTTCATCACTTTCGCATCCACCACCATCTTCCACTTCCATCTACCGCACCATATCCATTACCTCTCATCTTCATCACCTCATCATCTTTACTAATATCATATTTTATAAATTTTAAGGATTGAAAAGAAAAATAAATTTGAGTCGCTGGAAACCCATCTAAAAATTGGATCGAGCATTCATCGAAGATTTTGTCTATGTATACAGACTGTTGATGTTTATTCCTTCAACATGTGGGCCCAACACACGACCCAAGGGTTTCGAATGGAAGAGGTAAAGAAGTAGATGGAGAAACAAGCAAGAAAAGGCCCAGTAGGAAGTCTTATTATACCGAAGGGGTTACAAGGCCGAGAGGCCGTTTGTACAGAGCTATTCTACAAAGTGAGAACGTTCATCCCTCGCTATGCTACGAGCTGTTACAATGTTATAATGCTAGAGGGCTAAGTAGTCGACTTGTTACAATGAAATAAATGTTACTTACTATCTATACAACCAATGGGTAGTTAGATGCGTTGAACCCAGCTATGGATGTCTTGATCCCAACCACCAAATCTTTTGCATTAAATGCGCAACAACCAAATCTTCTATATTAAATGCAGAATCTTGCCATGATCTTGTCTTTCCGCCAAGGGGTGGGGACGTTCGTCCCCATGAGCTTGCCTCCTATTTCTTGCTGGGCCCAAAGTCCTGCAAGACGTGTGTCTCGTTCTGCTCCTGGGCCAAGGTACCTGTCTACGTTAGGATACATATGTCCCCTGAATAATCGGAAGGGTATCCCGTTGTCTCGGGCCTTTTGGGGATGTTCTTTCCCATGGGCTTGCCTCCTGTCTCCTGTTGGGCCCAAAGTCCTGTGAGACATGCGTCTCGTGCTGCCCCTGGGTCAAGGCACTTGCCTATGATAGGATACGTACGTCCCCTGGGCTTGGCCCTGTTGGGGACAAACCTCGCCAGGATAATGGGGGGCTAACCAGTTGTCTTGGGCCTTCTGGGGACGTTCATAGGGAGGGCCAACCCCCATTGGGCCACGAAGAAGAAAAACCGCTTCCGCCATACTGCCTTTAGCCGACGCCCCTAACATGACGGTTGCTTGCTATATTCTGGATCTCCAAACGTCTTGCCTTATTCACTGGATCTCTATACCCGACCGTCTATGTGAACGGGCTTTGGTGGCCCGTTGGGGACATACGTCTTCCGTCTAGGGGGGGGGGGGTTCTCTGTTGTTTTTCTCTAGGGACGTTCGTAGGGTGATTAACCCAGCACAAGTCCCCTAGTTTCTCGAAGAGCGAGCACGCGAATCTGCTCGGCCTCTGTCCTCGTTGGCATATGTGTGAGGCTTTGGGTCGTTTGGTCCCCGAATGCCCGGCTCAACTTCTTTCGGACGTTCGATTCCTAGAACCTCGGCCTAGGATTGTCCATCTTCGTCATGCACAACCCGGGGGCGCCCCAACTCATCATACTCAACGACATTCCTCTGCCTGAGTTCTTTCAACCTCCGGATGCTAGGTTGGGCCTCCTTGAGACGTTATGACTTCAATACGTCCAACCTGGGCACACTCAGTCTCTGGATATGTTGCGCATCTCAAGGCCTCAGTCGTGAAGTGGAGATGCTTGTCTCTAAACCCTCGGCCTCTGAAATGGAGATGCTTGTCTCCAAATGCTCGACCTCTTCACAGTGAGCCTAGCCGTACACTAGACACAATGG